TCTGTACGCTGGAGATCTTCTTCTCACTCAGAAGCAGGTAAGCATCCTGGAACTCACACTTCTGGCCTGCAAACAGAGAATATATGCTGTTGTCATTCCAGCCTTAAAGGAATGGTTCACCCAAAAATTAAAATTTTGTCATCGTTTACTAACCCTCGTGTCGCTCCAAACACAAAAGAAGATATTTTGAAGAACCAAACAGTTGTTGGCCCCCATTGACCTCCACAGAAAGGAATGAAATACTATAGAAGTCAATGGAGACCATCAACTGTTTGCTTACCAGCATTCTTCAAAATATCTTCTTTTAAGAAAGAAACTCATACGGGTTTGTAAATGATGACAAAATTTTCATTTTTAGGTGAACTATCCAATTCATACTGGTACAAACACATGAGCTTCTATTACAAAATACACACCTTTAGCTGTGTTGATGAAGTAAGGAGAAATGTAGCCACGGTCGAACTTCATGCCCTCAATGATCTCAAGCTCATCATGTAGGGTTTTACCATCCTTTAAACAAGAATTACAGCCCAAGTGTGAGGTATTTTAAGGATCAAACCATCATTCCACCTGTACTAAATACTACTTAGTGTAGCAGCCTACCTTCACTGTAATAACACCCTTGCGGCCCACTTTCTTCATAGCATTGGAGATGATGTTACCAACTTCAGTGTCTCCATTGGCAGAAATAGTGGCCACCTATATCAAAGAAAGATTGACAGAAACAAAAAGTAAAAAAATAAATAAAAAAAACTACCATATAGTGGGCGTTTTTAGGGCACTTCTTACCTGAGCAATTTCCTCTGGTGTTGTGACCGGCTTGGAGAGTTTCTTGAGTTCATTGATGACTTCTTCCACCGCCAGCATGACTCCTCTACGGATCTCCACAGGGTTGGCGCCTTTGCTGATGGTGTCAAATCCTTCCTTGGCAACAGCACGGGCCAAAACTGTGGCGGTTGTGGTGCCATCTCCAGCTTCCTCATTTGTGTTGTTGGCCACGTCCTGTACCAGCTTGGCCCCGATGTTCTTATATTTATCCTTCAAGTCGATACTTTTGGCAACTGTGACACCATCTTTGGTGACTTTAGGGCTGCCCCAGCTCTGCTCAATGATAACGGTGCGACCCTGAGGTAGAGAGGCGAATCTAGTTGTTCCTGCCATTAATGATTGCAAATGTGACTTTAAGGGGAGTAACATATCTGCTGTTCCCCTGGCAACTGATTAAACTCAGCATACCTTTGGTCCCATGGTGACGGCCACAGCATCAGCCAGCAGGTCAACGCCCTGGAGCATGAGGGCGCGGGCATCTGCTCCAAACTTGACGTCCTTGGCATACGCACGGGTCAGGTGTGGGGCCAGCGCCCTGCACACTGGCCTCATCTGTTTCATTACACTGGGTAAACGCAGCATTTCTAATGAGAAAGAGAGTAGAAGCAGAACACTTTTTTATTCCGATTATTCATGATATAAGTGATTTTTTACATCATTAGAAGAAAAAATAAAGATGGTTTTCAGAAACACTCCAACCATTTAGACCAGGGGCCCCATTGTCCACAATTTTCAAGGGCTCTTTATCCAGTTGTTTGTGATTTATCGGATAAGGATTAGTAATAAGATTTTTTTTTAACTCAACTTCTACTTGATAAAATATTTCAGAGCTTGGCATGACTAGAAAAAAAAAAGTGTATATTCTTTTAAAAAATGCCTACAAGATTTAATTAATTTACATGACTTTTCAAAGTCTAGAATCACACTTTAAGAATGAGGCTCTCTCATGTATTCATGTTTTCCAAGGCCATATAGATAAATTAAAATAAAAAAAATATATAGATTTTTAGTTGTTTTGTCATTTTAAAGGGGTCATATGATGCGATTTCAATTTTTCCTTTCTCTTTGGAGTGTTACAAGCTCTTGGTGCATAAAGAAGATCTGTAAAGTCGCAAAGACTAAAGTCTCAAATCCAAAGAGATATTCTTTATAAAAGTTAAGAGTCAACCACGCCTACCTAAAACGG